CATCACAATCATTTGCAGCATAGTCAGTTATTAATTGACGATATTCTAATTCTTTAGAATTTAATCGAACTAATTTTGGATCTAACCCAATGTCAAATGTTGAACATGTATGACGTTTGTCTAACCATTTGTGTAATTCATATGCTGTTGCTGCTTGTATAGACCACGGGTTGTTTTCTTGTATGCCAATACATGCTTCACATATACACTTTTGATTAGTTGTTGATGATGTTTTAATATGTGGATGATGTTTGTACCAATATAATTTAAATTCATCTTGTAGATTACGATTGCGTGATAATTTAATTTGATCAGATGAAAATAAATTAAATTCAGTAAATTTTGTTAATTCATCAATCGTACCCCATACATAAATTGTATTTTCCGGTTGAAATAATGATTCAAATAGTTGTTGAATTAAATAAAATGTTGGAACATGTGATCTTGGTAAATGATGAACTTCAATAATTAATATATATGAATTTAATTCATGTGTTATGATTTGTATTTGAATAAGTGCTGGTTTATTAGGTTTTTTGTATACAGTTATAGATTCTGTATCAATCGTAAATAATGTACATGAATTAATAAGTTTAGTTAATTTAATTAATGTTTCTTCTGTTGTTCTATAATTAATAAAAATTAATTCATATGGTGATGGTTCAAATGGTGGATAATTTGAAGCATAATAATGTTCATTAAGTTTTTTTCGATATACTTGTTTAATATTTCTTCGAGCTTGTCCAGTTATTGATTTCGGAATGTGGTTGTATTTCCATAATGTATCTTCGTATTCTTTTTCTGATAACATGACTACAATAAAAAAATAATGTTGTATATTAAACATCGATTCTTTCGAGAATGAATCTTAAGGTATTGAATATTATGAAAAAATAGGAATCTAGTATGTCAATCTGAATGGAGTACGAAATAATATTTCTTTCTCGATTCTCATTGCCTAGGATAAGAATCTGCTAAGAATAAATCGAATATTAATTATATCCAATAATGAAATTTCGTATGATAGAATAATAAATTATTAATAGATAGGTACCAAATTAAATGTAATAGCCCTTCACAATCAGTGAGTGAGGGAAACTCACGCTCCCCGACCATGCTATGCTAAATTAAATTAAATTTAATTAATCAATTAATAAATAATTATTCTATTTGGTTTGACATATTGTTATTACGGAGCTCTTTGATAGAGGTCCTGTAATTAATAGATTCGTTCGAATATTGGTAATAACACGTCGGTTGTCACTTGACGATATAATGTTGGTTTTTTGACGTGTTGAACGATAAATGTTTTGGGTGTAATGGTTTGAATGATTCTGAATGGTCCTTCATAACGAATATCAAATTTGTAACGGATGTTGAGTGTTTTCACCAGAACTAAATCACCAATATTGTATGATGGATTAGAACGATTTACATCGTATCGTTGTTTATATCGTTGTTGATTTTTTATAATATTGAGTTTAGCTTGTTCATTTAAATTTGATAAAAATTGTTGAAGCTTTTTTACGTGTTCAGAATCATGTGATAATGTAACATTTGTATCTTGATGATCGAATGGTAAAACAGGTGAGCGACCGTACATCATTTCGAATGGTATTTGTTTTGTTGACGAATGAATTGAAGCATTGTAATTGAATGTAACGAATGGTAATTGATCATCCCAATCGGTTTTACGTAAATTTGATAAAGCTGCAATTTTTGCATCCATAGTTGAATTATATCTTTCAACTTGGCCATTTGTTTGAGGATGATATGGTGTTGAATATAAATGTGTTGTTCCAATTTGTTTAATTAATTCATTCATTAGTGTTGATGTAAAATGAGTTCCATTATCAGTAAGAATACATCGTGGAGTACCGAATTTTGAAATAATATCTTCTTTAAGAAATCTAACAGCTGTTTGAGCTGTGTTATCACGTACAGCTTTTGTAACGACGAATTTTGATAACACATCAGTAAGAGATATGATATATTTATTTCCACGTTGTGATGTTGGAGTAATAGGTCCATGAAAATCCATTGATACTAATTGCCATACTCCATCAGGAGGTTTAATAGGTCTTAAAGTACCAGGATTTTTTTGTCGACGAGGATTAAATTGTGCACATGGAATACATGATTTAATATAATTATTAATATCTTTGTACATTGATGGCCAAAAATAACGTTGTTTAATTTTATGTACTGTTTTATCTCTTCCAAAATGAGCACCATTTGCCGCAGTATCATGATAAATTTGTAAAATTGTTTTTCGAAAATCACCTTGTGGTACATAAGGAACTGGAGTTTTTTGTCGACGCATTAATAGATTATTTTTCATAATATAATTTTTATAATTCTTAATGTTGTTAATAATTTTCTTTGCATATTCATCATTTTGTTGAGCTTGTATTAATTCATCAATTGTAAATGGAGGTGTTCGATTCTCTTCAATAGAAGTATTTAGAGAATCTGATGTTAATTTTGTTGTATCCGAAATATCATTTAAAGTTTTGTTTCGTAATTTCATAGCACGAGTTTCAACAGCTGCAACAATAGATGAATAATTATTAACATTTGAAATATCGGTTTGTGTTGATTTTGAACTAAGATGTGTAGTTTCATCAGGATCTTCTTCAGCATCGTCCACTGGAGACCTTGATAAATAATCAGGCATTGAATTTGTTAAACCAGGAATGTATTTCACTTTGAAATCATATTCTAAAATTTTTAATCTCCATCTTTCACATCGTTTATTAATTTGTGCTTTTTTATTTAATTGTGTTAATGCTTTATGATCAGTTTCCCAAAGAAATGTAATTCCACTTAAATAATTATGCCATTTATCTAATGCACATATAAATGCATAACATTCTTGTTCCATAGGAGACCATTTGCGTTGTGCTTGTGTAAATTTCTTTGAAAGATATGCAATCGGTCTATCGCCATCTGGATAAATTTGTAATAGTACCGCACCGATTCCCTCATCCGATGCATCAGTTTGAAGTTTGAAAGGGAATCTATTATTTGGAAGTCGTAATACCAGATCAGTTGTAAGAAAATTTTTGAGTTGTTCGAAGGCTTTAATTTCTTCATTTGTTAATGTAATAATAGTTTTTTGTCCTTTTTTTCGTTGAGTTTTTGTAGTTGGAACAAATTTTCTGAGTGGTTCGGCGATTTGAGAAAAATTTGGTATGAATTTTCTATAATATTCAGCTGCTTTGACGAATTTGCAAGCTTCATCTGCAGTTTGTGGTAATCGTGTATTTAATAAACCATTGATATTGTTTGCACTTGGACGAATTTCACCATTTTTAATATTGTGACCAAGATAATCTGTTTGAGTTCGAGCTATTTCACATTTTTCTGGATTAAGACGAAATCGAGCATTTTTTAATATTTGACAAATTTCATTGAGATGTGATAAATGTTCTTCGAATGTTTTTGAATATATAATTATATCATCAATATATGCTAATGCATATTTCCATCGTGTAGGACCTAATATATGGTTAATTATACGTTGAAAAGTTGCTGGTCCATTTGTAATACCTTGAGGAAGTACTGTAAATTGATAATGATTGTCTCTGGTTGAAAAAGCAGTTTTCGGACGGTCCTCTTTAGATAGAGGAACCTGGAAATAACCAGATTTGAAATCAAATTTTGTATAATATGTTGCATCGGATAATTGATCAAATATTTCGTCTATTCGAGGAAGTGGAAATGCATCTTTAATTGTAATAGCATTTAATCGACGATAATCAATACAAAATCGCATTGTTTTATCTTTTTTCTTAACGAGAACAATAGGTGATGACCACGGAGATGTTGATTCTTCTATTTGACCACGTTCTAATAATTTTTGTGTTTCTTGAAATTTAATTTCTTGATCTTTATGTGAAGCTGAGTATTGTTTTGAATAAATCGGCGGATGTTCACCGGTTTTAATTGCAGATTGTGGAGGTATATTAATAATCGATGGTGTAGGATCAAATAATATTTTATTTCGCCATAATATATCTTGAATTGCTAATTGATGTTTTCGATTTTCTATATGTTTAGTCGATTCGATTATTTGTTGTCGAATCTGTTCCGAATAACATTTTTCTCGTAAGTGTTTTTGTAAATCATTTCCAGATAAAAAATATTCATTACAATGGTGGCAATAAGTATTTGATTTTGTTTGATTCGAGTTGTTCTTTCCGTATGGAACAGCTCTGGATTTTAATTGTTGAGATTGCCAAGATAAAGATCTATGATTTTCATTTAAAAGAAAATTATGTTTGTTGTCAGGCAGTGTTGTAGCATATATAGGACAAGTTGAGTGACGGGAGAGGGTTCCAATTCGTGTATTTTTTGATAATGTTTGATATCGATCTTGTGCATTTATTAATAATATTTTGGCTTGATTTTTATTAATATTCAATAATGTATGTGGTGTGAGAATAAATTTTGATGTATGACGTTCATAAGGTTCAAATATAAGATTATTTGCAACGTTAATTTGACATGTTATATCAACTAATTTTTGTGAGTATGGAGGAAGAGTAACTTGATGGACTAATAATGCCGGATAATTAATAGATGTAGGTTCCACATATGGAATTGAAATTAATTGACCACGTTGATCAGGAATGGTTAATTTTGTCTGGTCACCATAAAGGTGAATATGGTTCGGATTTATCCAATCATTACCTAAAAGAATTGATGTAATTAAGTTTGTAGCCACATAAGCAGTAACATAAGTTTTAATAGATTTAATTTTGATTTCTAATTTTATTTGACCAATAATATTAAGAGGTGTTGAATTTGCAGTTTGACATAGTTGAGGTTGATGTAAAAAATTTTGATGATGGATGGTTTTAAGAAAATTTGAATGAATAATTGAGATGGCGGATCCTGTATCAACAATTGCTTC